AAATTTCATTTCCTGATTAGTTTGTAAATCTGGTTATATGCTGTGTGAATTCTACTAAATTTAATGTAATATGGAATGAAGGTAAAACAGAAGAATTCAATCCTTCTAGAGGAATTCATCTAGGTGATCTTCTATCACCATACCTGTTTGTCATTGCCATGAAGAAATTGTCTCATATTATATCAACAGCTATTAATGGAGGTTTATGGAAACCAATGCGTGTTGGAAAAGCTGGTCCTAATATATCTTATTTAGCTTTCGTAGACGACCTCATCATTTTCATGGAGGCGTCGGTGGATCAGATAAACATTTTGTTGAAATGTCTTAGTAGTTTTTAGGATGCTTCGGGGCTAAAACTCAGTGTGGAAAAAACTTCCATTTTTTCTCAAAAAAGACTAAAGAATATCAGATCAATGAAATTGTGCAGGTTAATGTTTCAAAAGGGTTAAAAATGTTGGTCGCTACCTCGGTTCTATGATGCAACATAAGATAGTGAAGAAAGGTTTATATGCTAATATTGTTGAGGAGGTCAAACTAAAATTAAACAACTGGGATCAACATTGTTTATCCCAAGCGGGTAGAATCACTTTGACTAAATCTGTTATGGATGCTATGTCTTACTTTCAGATGCAAAGCACAAAAATTCCTTCGTCGGTGTCTAAAGAGATTGAAAGAATCCAACGGGGCTTCATTTGGGGTGATCATGATAGAACTCGTAAGCATCATCTGATCAATTGGAATTCAATCACTTTACCAAAAAGAATTGGAGGCCTGGGTTTAAAGAAGCTGGAGCTTAGGAACGATGCCTTTATTGCTAAGAGGGCGTAGGAAATTTTCAATGATGATGGCCAACTTTGGGTACAAGTTCTGAAAGCCGAGTATGCAGATTGTAACAGCCCATTATGTACCGGTATTGTTAACATTGATTATGATATCAAGCAGTTACAATCACAACAGTTCGTTTATAAAAATGCGAGTAAACTTTTTTCTTTTCATTACGCGAGCATTTAAAACAATAATAAAGCATAATGAATAAAAGCTCTGACCATAACTGAAAATTAAATGCGGAATAATAATATTAATTGTCTTACTATCATATAATACTTCTCTTAAGTCACTAAGGGATTCCCATAAATTCACTTAGCCATAATCTCACTTTTACAATTTTACCTATCCGAATATGGTTCAGTATTTTGGATACTGTATAAAATTCGTGTGTCGCGAACCTCTCATCTTTTAGTATGTTATTCTAGACTTGATTATATTTCCAACAAGCTATCACACATTCCATAAAGTTCTCGTTTTCTCCGATTATAACTGTTTGAAGTTGGACAAGCAAATCTGCAAGCAACCTCAAACAGGGCTCCAAACAGCCCTCACTCTTTCCACGATTTCGGAAAAACCACTCCACAAATTTCTCTCAAATATTTATACAGTAAATTAGACACCTCAAGCTTCAATTTGACATATCATAGGCCTAATTTGACCAATAATTGAGGCGGGAATAATTTTCCCAAAAACCAGTCCCGATAGCCCTAAGTGCAGGGGATTTCCGGACAGTCCTCACTCTTCTACCTCTACACGTCTCCATACTAATCCTATGTTTCTGAAATTTTGACACAATGTAATTGACATCTCAATCTTCAAAATGGTGTATGGCTCGTGTTTATTTGACTTCTATGGAGGGAGATATACTCTCCCAAATTTCATCCAAAATCTGCCATTTTATAGAAATTTCTCTAGCATCTCCTTTGTTTTTCCAACATATCCCATTTTTGTAAAAGTGTGTTATCTATCATCAAGGGTACCTAATAGATACGGGTGGCACTCAAGGACCCGCAATGCCTTGGTGCTCTTACAACCCATCCCAATTTATATCCATTTTCTCACTTTACAATTCATTTCTTAAATTATGAATCTTAAAACATTTCAATCACTTTGATCCATTTGCATACATACTTTAAACATACACATAATTCATCAACTAAAATAAGCCTAATGCCCTTTCATCATACATCGTCTTCAATAATATGCAAGATCCAATATTACAATTACAAGCCTCCAATGAAACAAAATACAAATGAATCTCCAATTACATCATAATAAATCCTCAAAATAAACATGACAAATCATCAACTAAACTTAGACAAAATATGGCATGAACAAAGATGACAATATGTATAATCCTAAATCAACATACATGTTCATGCCCTAAGTCTAGCCTAGGCCAAGTGGCCTCAAAATGCAAAATAGGATCTATGTCTCCAATGCTCATCCTACGGGCCTCTTGCCCACTGTTCCTGTGCCACTACCACAACATGAAATAAAGTCTCTAAAACAGGGTGAGATATACGAATATATCTCAGTAACCCAGAGGTTCTGGAGATTACTCCGCCCCATGGCTCACTCATATGCAAATGAATAATATACCACAACATCCAAAAAGGGATAAAGCAAGGGATTTAGTGAAGTAGGGAAGCATAGGGAGTAAAAATACGATAAAGCTGGAATGGTCAATGCCAAAGCCACACAACATCCGGCCTATTGGCCTCAGCATATAGCCTACAGGTTCTCATTCAAGGAAGTGTTCCCAAAACATCAACCAAGGCACCATCCATCCATATACACCCGAGACTTTCCTAGAGTGCTTCTCAACAGATAACACCCCATGACCCCAGGTCAACTGGAACTCCCTCACGAAGACCTATCCAGTGGAAGTCCGTAACGCCCGAAGGCAACAGTCTACTGGCCAGAGACACGGTACATCCTATGTACCACTATACATACAATAATGCATGAACATGTTATAATATACTATTAACATACACCTCCAACCACTACCCCCAAGGGGCATGGTGGAGCACACACAGGGACTAAACCCCAGTACCAAGGGATTACCTGATGCAAACTCCTTCTCTTGGTAGCTCCAATTCATAGTACCTTCGAGCTTGGTCCAACAAGAAATGCCTACACATAGGTCATTTCCATTACAATTATGATCAACCAAGCCATATACATATTATCCAAGTATTCATGCATATTTACATAATTACTTACCACAATCCTTTTGGTCAAGGACCAAAGGCAACCCACCAAGCTCAATGCTCCAAGTTTAAGTCCGTGGGAGACAACCTACAATAATCACACAAGGATCATTAATACAAGGTGCAACCAACTAATCACAAAGCACCAAAGTCCACCCCCCACATGTATAGGTTCAGCCAATGGCCTTAAATTTACTAAACCATTTTCTAAATTTTATTTCATTTTACCACTAGCATCCCAAGGTTATCATAACACCAATTCAAGCCCTATTTTCTATCCAATTCCATCATAACACCATTCTCTTCAAATCACCTCATTTAGGCCGAATGCACACACTCACACTCCAATTATTTTTCCTTCCAATTCAATGCATCCACTCAACATACAACTCATTTAAACACCATTCACAACCACACAGCATCAATTATACAATTTTTACATCATCAAGCCCTATATGCCCTCAAATGGCCGAATTGTTCATGTCCATATGCCTAGGGATATTCAATCCAATTTCACACTTCCACACATCATACAATCATATAATTAACTCATACAATTACTCCATAACTCAATTACACAATCCTACAACCATACCATTCCACAAAGTCATGAACATCAACATCAAAATTGCCTAAGTTACCAAATAATTTCTCAATAATTTTTATGAGTTCAATCACTCTAAAACATCATTCTAAGCCACATTTATCTAATACACATTTTTATTTGAGCTCTCTAACTATATCAATCCATGCACAATAGCTTTAGGTCACCAAATTTAAATTTATCAAATCAACCAATTAAAAGTGTAGAAACTTACTCACAAGCAAGGCTTAGGACTCCTCCACAACATACCAAAGCATTGGAGGATCAATCAACTCCAAGAATCCCAAAATTCCTCAAATGGATGCGGGTTTAGATGTGATTTTTCTCCCAAATCATTGAGTTTCAAGCCCTAAAACTATCATGGTTGTGTTTGGAAGGTCCTTTACTTAAAGTTTGATGTAGTGGAAGTTAGATTTCGGTGGAGATTTGAGTGAGTTTGGAGGGAAAGAAGATTTTGCCCCAAAACTTGTAAAAATGGGAGGAAGCTCGGTTTTTGGAGAGAGAAAAGGATGAAGAGATGATGAATAGTGCACTTGCACATGTGTTTTAAGGTCATTTAAATGGGGTGGGTCCCACTGCCACCTCACGCGATTCAAACTAATTCAAATCTCTCGCTTTTTCCACTAAACGTCCATAATTTCCTAAACTATTTAGAAACTCTAATTTTTAACATTAACCATTGTCCTTTAATTGTGCTTGATCAGATGAATCCGGAGTTTTCCGGTTATTCGGAGAAATCACAGTTTTAAGCTGTTATGTGCGTTGTGGGCATGCTTCCCCAAACACTCTAATTTTCATCAATTTTTACCAGAAATCATATTTTCAAGTCCTAAGTACCATTTATAACTTATTTTCAAACCTAGAGCTCAAAATTCATTCGGCACGCTTTACGGTGCAACTGTACCATAGTATTTTTACCCGGTAAAAACATTATTCATCAAATTTCCAGAAACTTGCCTAACCACTCTATTTTTCATTCTAAATCCATGTCCAGGGTTAGTTTTCCCATTTGAGACCTTCTACTTAATTTTTCTTTTCTAGGGTTACGTGTTTGGCAATTTACCATTTTACCTTTTTTATGTATTTTGACCCTAATTTTGAGACTTTCACTAATCCTACCCTTTAATCCACATTTAATATATAAATATATATTTTAGAAATAAGAGGTGTTATACAAATGGTATTAGACCTAATCATCTTTTCGAGGAAAAAATAGAGACTCTAATTTATGGAGGAACGTTTGCAGAATATAGAGGAGACTTGAAAGTGCGTCAGTTTGGAATCTGGGAGATGGTAAGGATATAAATTTCTGGTATGATAAATGGCTTCATGATGATATTTTATTACAAGATATGATCCTTTTTGTTGTGACCAATATTGATTTCAGTAAGAAGGTGGCTGATATGATCACACAGGATAGAGATTGGAATCCAGTAGCCTTGAAGCAATGGCTCACTCCTAATGCTATTAACATCTTGAAAAATACTTTACCTCCTAATCAAGAAGACAGTCCGAATAAGAAATCATGGAGATTTGGTAGCAATCCATCTATCTCGATTAGGAATATTTATGAAACACTTTTGAATAGAGGAGATGCTAATGAGGAGAGGCAAGAGTTGTGGTCTATTTTATGGAAGTGGAATGGCCCCCAGAAGATCAAGATTTTATTGTGGAAGATTTTGCATGGCAGATTACTAACTATGAAGAAAATATCTCAATGGGGAGAGGTAGAGGATATTTGCCCGATCTGTAATAAAGAAAGTGAATTTATTCTACATGCTTTAAGGGATTGCCATGAGGTTAAAATAGTTTGGAACAAGTTGGTTCCTTCATGCATTGCTACTGAATTTTTCGTTGTTAATTTAGAATAGTGGCTAAAGCTTAATTTAAAGGGTTAGAATGGAACTAGTGCTCCTAGTAACTGGTTATCTATATTTTTCATCACTTGTTGGAAATCTTGGCAATAGAGAAATAAGCTTCGTCATGGTTCTACCATTCCTAGTTGGATAAACAGGGAGATTATTATTCGCAACCTGGTCAAAGAGATTGATGATGTTTTCTCCAATCCTAATAGCCATCAGTTGGGTAGAGGAACTGTTATTATTAATATTTCCAGGCTTTTTCCAAAAGATTGCTATATTAAAATAAATACTGATGGAGCCTCGCGTGGTAAACTTGGACATGTTGCTTATGGAGGTGTACTGTGTGACTCTAACGATAAGTGGCTAAGTGGATTTGCATTTAAATTAGGAACATGCTCTTCTTATAAAGCTGAACTTTGGGGTATTCTTCGTGGTTTAGAATTGGCCTGGAATGAAGGATTTTGAAATATTGAAATTGAAAGTGATTCATCTAGGGCAGTCACTATGCTAACCAACCTTGGTGTAGCAGTCAGTGAGAGTCACCTTATCTCTCGAATACAGACATGGTTTAAAAGAGATTGGAGAATTAAGCTTCGTCACACTTATAGAGAGGGCAACATGTGTGCGGACTGGATGGCTAATTTCATTCTTGATAATGGGGAGGATGTGGATGCTGTTGTTGATCGTGAACCTTCTTCCGGTATTTTGTTATTGCATTTAGCTGATGTTTCTTATGTAGGTAGGGCTCGTGCCATGGTAGTTCATTAATTTTCTCTTGTTTTTTTTGGCTTCGGCCTTTAATTTACCAAAAAAAAAAGACCAAGCTGCCATGTTTTTAAAAATGATATACTAAAATGTCATCAGGTGAGAAAATCTTCCCCATTTACCTCACTTTAAGTTTCGCTATTGTGTCTAGTGGGATCGATTGAGTAACGTGGAAGAATATGGTGTTATGCCTCATGTGACATATTTCTAATCGTTCATATTAAATTTTATTCTTTTTTTATTCCTATCTTTTTACTTTACATAAATTACCTTAAATTGATATTAGAGTAAATACCTCTTTCGGTCCTCAACAAATTTTACGATGCCCGTTTTAGTCCCTAGCAAATAAAAAGTCTATTCGTGGTCTCTAAGAAATTCAAAGTGAACCCATTTTAGTCATTTTGAGGGACTAATATGGGTCTTTTTTGAATTTGTGAGGGATCACGATTTCAACTAAATGGATCCATTTTGAATTTTTTAGGGACCACGAATAGCCTTGGGACTAAAGCAGAATCGTGAAATTTGCTGAGAACCAAAAAGGGTATTTACTCTTGATATTATTATTTTGTCAATAAATTTAAAGATATTATTAAATTAATTAATTTAATTAATAACATAAATAATTTTCGTTTATGTTATGATATTTCAAAATTCTTTTAAATTTTAAATTTTTAAATTTATTATCAATAATATTACTTTAATGATTGATTTTTTTTTCTTATTAGTCTTTAAAAAATATTCATATAAAAATTATTTTAATTTAAGTTGTAATATTTTGAAGTCTATAGGAATTGCATTTTCCAAATTATATTAAGTGTATCATCTCAAAATAAAAAGGAAAGATAATTAATTGATTAGCTAAAAAAGAAAGATAATTTTTTATTTTATTTTTTATACATGAGAAACGAGAAAATTTATTTGGTCAACAACATGAGAATATAACCACATTATTTCAAATAAATGGTGTGCAGATTTTAAATATAATTTATTGGATTCATTCGTGTGATGTGGTTGGTTTACTCTAATTAAAAAAAAGTGATTTTTTTTAATTTTGAGAGTAAAATCACCCTTGTTTAAGCTTTCTCCAAAAAAAAATCAATGAAAAGAAAATAATGTAATTAAATTAATAAAATATGTATTAATAAAATATTTATTTGATTAAATTTGTAAAATATTGTTTTTAATTTGAAAAATTAGGAAAGAAAAAATCAATAATTAAATTATCATAATTTAACAATTTTGAATTTTTAGGGATTTGAAACTATCACGACGTAAATGAGAGTTATATACAGTGTTAATTTTTATTTAACTATTAATTTAACAAATACAATTTGACATTTTAAAGGACATAATTATGTATCATTTTAAGTAAAACAACGGTGTTTCACTAAAAAAAAACTCTTCCATATCCCTTCCCATATGTTTCCTTTCTTTTTACAACATGTTGCCTTGTATTCGCTGCTATTGTCGCGCCATATAGTGCTGCCTTGTGTCATGGTCGAGAAGATCTTTTGCAAATGGTGAAGATTTGTATTGACGGATTATAATCGTTGTCAATCGCAATTAAGCGGTAAACAACGGCCAAGCTGAGCATGTTGGCCAAGAATCGAGAGTATAATCGTACTGTGATTAGTGAGTATGGCGCAGTCCTTCTTTGATTCCTTTACTTTGGTGTAGGGGTGTAAATAAGACAAATCAATCCAAACTTTAACTTAAATATGCTAGGACTATGTAAAATATTACAATTATGTCTTGGCTGATCAACCTAATATAAGATAAATTATAAGTTTGATCAGACTTATTTTAAAAATACAAGGCTTAACATAACTTATATAATTACCCTATTTGTTAAATCTTAATTAGAGATTTAAATTAAGGATTTAAATGTCATAATTGAATTCAGAGCGTGATTTCGAGTATTTTGATTGTAATCATGACTAGGTCATGAACAGTGCTTTCTACCGGATATTCTGCATTACTGTGTAGCAACCGGTGCTTAAAATGAACAAAATGAGTTTAGAGAACTAATTTGGCAATTTTGATGTCAAATATCAGTTCAGAACAAAAAATTGTATAGTTTAGCACTTCCCGTGAAAATCTCGTGAATAGTGTTTTCTGCCGGGTATTTTGCACCGCTGTTTAAGCAACTGGTAGAGTCCAAAACTAAATAATTGATGAAATAAGAATAAGAAAGTCTAATATATGCCTAACAAGTTATTTTAGGACAAAAAATGTAAAATATATTAAGTTTGTAAGATTAAGTGTAAGTAATGTAAATTAAGTAGGTAAAATACACACATTCTATTTTTCCTACTTAAATAACACTAGGAGAGCGAAAATATAACTCCATCTTCCTTCCTCCCTTCATGTGCAGACCATGGACAGCACCTTGAGGAAGGCATAGTGCGGTTTTCCTTTTCTTATTCTTTTCACCATCTTACACTCATCAAATTCAAAAAGTCCCAACATGAAAGTTGCTCCTTAGGTCCTTAGAAAGAAAACCCATAGATCTTTTCACCTTGGGAAGCAATATTGAGTGAGAAATTCCCTCCATGGCAGCTCGCGATATTGTTCATCTTCATGGGAAAAATGTTGAATTTTTGAGTGATTCTTTGCTTGGAGATTAATCCTTTGAGTGTTTAGGAGTCATTCAAGGTAAGATGCCCTATTTCCTATTGCTAGATTCTTGATCTTCATGATTTTTTTTCATGAGCATTATTTTGGGGGGAAGCTTTTGATTCTCAAATTTAAATTGGTGGAAATGAGTATGATTTATAATTGATTATCGCGGTGAGGTTGTTAAAGCAAGTTTAGTTGTGAATAAAAGTTGTAAATGATCTTTGAAGAACCCTATATGGTTCAGCCATGGGGTGTAAAAATATGCACACCAAGTGTTTATAAAATTTTCCAAGAGGAATCATAAATTAGAATTAAAGCTATGATGAATTAAATGAAAAATGAGTTGTCAAATGCTGAAAATTTTGGATATGTACCTCTGACATTGGATGATGATATCTCCCTCATACCTTGGTCAAATGAGGCTCATGATACCTCATTTTAAATCTTGAGATGTCATCTATGTGGCTCTAAAATTTGAGATGATTATGTGTTGTGCTTTGTCCCCAAAGTGAATTTGAGTCCAAACTACCTAAAATTGCAAAGTGGAGGGGCGTTTCCAAGGGTTCAACTTCAAAAATTCATATATCTCTCATTACTTACTCAAATTAAGCTTATGATACCTCGAATTAAAACCCTAGGTGTCTGCTACAACATATTAAAATTTGAGAGAAATCATACTTATAGAACTCTCACAAGGACGAAAACCGTGAGGGAGGTTGGGATTCCCCTGCACTGCCTAAAACCGCTTTGTTAGTTGAACTTCCAAAAATCGTAACTTGAGCTATATAGCTCTGATTAAGGTATATGATACCTTGTTGGAAATCTTAGGAAGTCTAAAAAAACATACTAAAATATTGGGATTTATTGATATATAGTTCATTCCCAGATTTAGATTGAATGAAGGTAACTCAAGTTGGAAAAATATAAAAACACTAAATTGGGCCTTGGGTGATGGGAACCACTTGGATATACTGGATAAGTGTTGTAAAAATTTATTTTAGAAGCTTGGTTGAGTCATTCTAAGAGCCTATGTAAGGTAAGAATCCTTAAATGATCTAATAAATGAGTTTAAGAAATTACGATCTTGACTTGTGAATTGGCATATGTTTGGCATAAGTGTGAAGAAAGGAAAGTAAGCAATAAAATATACGACTTGCGTAAATTAAATGGCATTGTATCATTTTATTGATTTTTGTTTTGAATTCTTTGTCTAGGTGTGCCTAGGGACTAAGTGTCTTTGGATTCTTTTGGAGCTAAATAGGTAACTTGTGTTACAAGTGAGCAAATTGGTAAAGCTCCAGAAGGTAAGCTCTATGTTTAAGGAGTCTTTTACTGCTTGAATGCTCCACCATGGTTAGTGAACTATGGTTGGATTGTATGATCGTATTTGATGCTTTGTATAGATGCATTCATATAGAGTTATTTGATAACATTATATGATTTGTTCTGATGTGATTTTTGTATTGATCTTTGGCCATTGATTGTATTGTGCACTGATGTCTACTTGGGGTCTTCCCTCGGGACTGACTGTGTATGCCTCTGATATGTTCTGGTTTCGCTTGGGGTCCTCTCTTGGGAACACGTGCGTTAATTTCAATGACTGCGTACGCCTCTGATAAGATATGTATATATGTTTTGTTTAGTTACGATATCTGTTATATGATGCCTTTTATACTCTGTATCTGACTTTCATGCAAGAGTGGGCCCGGGGGTATGGAGAATTCTCTATAAACTTGGAGCTTATTGAGATTTGTTATCTCATTCCTTTTTGGAGACATCATTTCAAGTGTTTAGATTCCCGGTGAGCCCTCACGAGGCAGGGACACGACTCGTGGCTAGAGGGGTTGCGATGGACCGAATTTTGGAGTAGCTTTAGGCTACTGATATTTGGTGGATATTTTGTTGTTTCAGTATTTTGTTCTTTTGGGATCATGATGTATGATCCATTCCTTGTATATGGCCTGTATATGTTTTGTACATGTCTTTCAGTTTGATGCATGTACAATTGTGTATTCAGCATGTTTATATTATGATGTAGTATTCAGTTATATAATTACATGTTGGATATGCATGATGTTAGA